AGGCCACCGTCACCCTGATACCAAAATCAGACAAAGAAATCACACAAAAAAAGAAAATTACAAACCAATATTACTGACCAACATAGATGCAAAAATCCTCAACAAAATACTAACAAACAGAATCCAACAACACATTAAAAGGATCATACACCATGATCAAGTGGGATTTATCCCAGGGATGCAAGGATTCTTCAATATAGGCAAATCAATCAATGTGATAAACCATATTAACAAACTGAAGAATAAAAACCATATGATCATCTCAACAGATGCAGAAAAAGCTTTTGACAAAATTGAACACCCATTTATGATAAAACCTCTCCAGAAAGTGGGCATAGAGGGAACCTACCTCAACATAATAAAGGCCGTATGTGACAAAACCCACAACAAACATCATTCCCAATGGTAAAAAAGTGAAGGCATTTCCTCTAAGATCAGGAACAAGACAAGGATGTCCACTCTCACCACTATTATTCAACATAGTTTTGGAAGTTCTGACCACAGCAATCAGAGAAGAAAAAGAAATAAAAGGAACACAAATTGGAAAAGAAGAAGTAAAACTGTCACTGCAGATGAAATGATACTATACATAGAGAATCCTAAAGATGCCACCAGAAAACAACTAGAGCTAATCAATGAATCTGGTAAAGTTTCAGGATACAAAATTAATGCACAGAAATCTCTTGCATTCCCATACACTAACAACGAAAGATCAGAAAGAGAAATTAAGGAAACAATCCCATTTACCATTGCAACAAAAGAATAAAATACCTAGAAATAAACCTACCTAAGGAAGTAAAAGACCTGTACTCAGAAAAATGTAAGAAACTGATGAAAGAAATCAAAGATGACACAAACAGATGGAGAGATATACCATGTTCTTGGATTAGAGAAATCAATATTGTGAAAATGACTATACTTCCCAAAGCAATCTACAGATTCAGTGCAATCCCTATCAAATTACCAATGGCATTTTTCACAGAATTAGAAAAAAATTTTACAGTTTGTATGGAAACACAAAAGACCCCAAATAGCCAAAGCAATCTTGAGAAACCAAAATAGAGCTGGAGGCATCAGGGACCCTGACTTCAGACTATACTACAAAGCTACAGTAATCAAGACAGTATGGTACTGGCACAAAAACAGAAATACAGATCAATGGAACAGGATAGAAAGCCCAGAGATAAACCCACGCACCTATGGTCACCTAATCTATGACAAAGGAGGCAAGAATATACAATGGAGGAAAGACAGCCTCTTCAATAAGTGGTGCTGGGAAAAGTGGACAGCTACACATAAAAGAATGAAAATAGAACACTTCCTAACACCATACACAAAAATAAACTCAAAATGGATTAAAGACCTAAATGTAAGACTGGACACTATAAAACTCTTACAGGAAAACATAGGAAGAACACACTTTGACATAAATCACAGCAAGATCTTCCTGACCCACCACGTAGGGTAATGAAAATAAAAACAAACAAATGGGACCTAATGAAACTTAAAAGCTTTTGCACAGCAAAGGAAACCATAAGATGAAAAGGCAACCCTCAGAATGGGAGAAAATATTTGCAAATGAAGCAATAGACAAAGGATTAATCTCCAAAATATACAAGTAGCTCATGCAGCTCAATGTCAAAAAAACAAACAACCCAATCAAAAAATGGGTGGAAAACCTAAATAGACATTTCTCCAAAAAAGACATACAGGTGGCCAAGTGGCACATGAAAAGATGCTCAACATCACTAATTATTAGAGAAATGCAAATCAAAACTGCAATGAGGGATCACCTCACAACAGTCAGAATGGCCATCATCAAAAAATCTACAAACAATAAATGCTGGAGAGGGTGTGGAGAAAAGGGAACCCTCTTGCACTGTTGGTGGGAGTGTAAACTGATACAGCCACTGTGAAGAACAGTATGGAGGTTCCTTAAAAAGCAAAAAATACAACTACCATATGACCAAGCAATCCCACTACTGGGCAGATACCCTGAGAAAACCATAATTCAAAAAGACAGATGTACCCCAATGTTCATTGCAGCACTATTTACAATAGCCAGGTCACAGAAACAACCTAAATGTCCATCGGCAGATGAATGGAAAAAGATGTGGTACATATATGCAATGGAATATTACTCAGTCATAAAAAGGAATGAAATTGGCTCATCTGTAGAGATGTGGATGGACCTAGAGCCTGCCATACAGAGTGAAGTAAGTCAGAAAGAGAAAAACAAATATCATATATTAACACATATATGTGGGATCTAGAAAAATAGTACAAATGAACCTATTTTCAGGGCAGGAATAGAGACACAGATGCAGAGAACGGACATGTGGACACAGGGCGGGGTTAGGGGAGGGTGGGATGAATTGGGAGATTAGACTGACATAAATACACCACAATGTGTAAAATAGAAAGCTAGTGGGAACCTGCAGTATAGCACAGGGAGCTCAGCTCAGTGCTCTGTGATGACCTAGCTGCGGGGATGGGGGGAATGGAGGGAGGTCCAAGAGGGAGGGGATATATGTATACATTACGTACAATAACAAAAGGTGGAAGTGACCCAAAGGTCCATCGGCAGATGAATGGATAAACAAGATGCAGCAGATCCATTCAAGGAAATTTTTTTTTTTAATAAATTTATTTTATTTATTTATTTATTTGGCTGCGTTGGGTCTTCGTTGCTGCGCCCAGGCTTTCTCTACTTGCGGCAAGCAGGGGCTTCTCTTCATTGTGGTGTGCGGGCTTCTCACTGTGGTGGCTTCTCTTGTTGGGAGCATGGGCTCTAGGCACGCGGGCTTCAGTAGTTGTGGCACGCAGGCTCTAGAGCGCAGGCTCAGTAGTTGTGGCACACGGGCTTAGTTGCTCCGCAGCATGTGGGATCTTCCCGGACCAAGACTCGAACCCATGTCCCCTGCATTGGCAGGCGGATTCTTAACCACTGCGCCACCAGGGAAGCCCCGAAATACTTTCCAGTCTTAAAAAGGAAGGAAATTCTGGCACTTTACAACATAAACCCTGAGGGCATTATGCTAAATGAAAGAAGCCGAATAAGAAACAAAAGACGTACTGCATGATTCCAGTTGTATGAGGTCCCTAGAGTAGTCACATTCATAGAGAAAGTAGAATGGTGGTTGCCAGAAGCTGGGAGGGGAAAATAGGGAGTTAGTGTTTAATCTGTATTGAGTTCCAGTTTTGCAAGAAGAAAAAAATTCTGGGGATGGTTGGTGGTGATGGTTGCACAGCAATGTAAACGGACTTAGGGCCACTGAACTGCACATGTAAAAGTGGTAAATTTTGTTATGTTTTACACTACCGAAAATAAATTTTTTAAAATTAATTTAAAAAATTACATGTGGAAGAGACTGTTTCTTCAGGTGCTAGAATCAAGTGGCAAACCATGACCTGCTGCTGAAATCTGCCCAGACACGTACTTTGGATCAGAGGCATTTGAACTTGAAAGCCTCTGGAGGGGATGCGTGCTTGCCAGGTGGCCCTGAGCCCCCCACTCCCAGTCACCTTACTTGCCTGGCTACTGAAGGCGTTGGAGGCTGGAACCCCAGATGGAGCAAGGGAAGACTTTTAGGCGAGAGCTCGTAGCGTCTGTTATTTTTGCGAATGGCCTTTGCTGCACAGGAGGCCTGCCTTGCGGGGACAGAGCTGGTGAAGTCCGGATGTGGAGGACAGTAACACTCACCCAATACCCCATGAGCCCCCTCCATGTCCCAACTCCTTGTGACTAGTTCTGGCCAATGAACCATGAGCAGAAGTGACCTGTGTGTCATTTCTGGGCTGAAGCAACTGGTGATGTCCCCCACAGTGGAGCCCCCATCGGCCTGGGTCCCCAAAAGACGATGTCAAAACAGAGGCCCCATGTGACCCATGACAGACAGGTAGTATGAGCAAGTCAGCAAGAAATAGGCCTTTATGTCAAACCACTGGGATTTGGGGGTTAATTTGTTACCGTGGCATAACCTCGCTTATCCTGACTAATATATGTGCTGTGCTGGATGGGGAAAGGTTTTCTCAGCTTCACAAGCTCCAGGTGGGAGCCACGGACCACAGCCATAGTTCCACGGCTCTAAGCCAGAAACCTCAGAAAAAGCACATGCCTTCCCTGGGCTTAGGTTCCCCAGCTATTCCATTTGTACCTAAAAATCAGGAATTTCATATTGTTCAACCTATGGGAGTATAAAGACAGGTGCTGCTTACTAATCCAGGAGGGCAGATCTGGGCTCTCGGCCAACCTTGCCTCTGACTCCAACCCTCCTGGCCCTGTTTCCCCATATGTCCCTGACGGGGTTCTAGATCACCCGTGGCTTCTAGGGCTGGGCTAGAGATGGGAGTGAAGGAGCCACCTGGCCCAGGGACTTCAAGAGAGTCCCTCAATCACTGGACCCCAGTGTCAGGGTCCAAGAATAAGGGGAGAGCTCACTCATTCCCCACTGTCACAGCTTCAGCCTCATCCACAGGGAACAGCCTGAGACCCCAAGCCCCTTGCTGAGGTGGATTTTTAACACTGACCCTGGCCTCAGCCTACTCTGGGGAGCCTCACCCCCACCTGTCTGGTGGGGAGGCCATCTACCCAGAGTTAGAAGCTGCACAAAGAGCCACGCTCAGGGCGCTGGATCCACCCCGCCCAGCACAGGTTGTCTTACTTCTGCAAGTGAGGAGGGGCAGGCCGAGGCCAGGGCACCTCCAGGGCTCTGAGGGCATCACGACAGAGCCGGCACATGTGGGAATCTGGAGCTGCAGGGAGTGCTAAGCTTTATTTACAAACGTGTCACAGAATCCCCTCTTCCCAACCCCAGGGTCTCCTCTGTCCCCAGGAAGGAGACAGGCCTGAGGCCACCCACCGGCCCAGCCTAGGAAGGTGGGGCCAGAGTCCACCTCCAGCTGAGGCTGGGCAAAGCTCCCCTCTCGTGGGCGCCCCTGCCGGCGTAGAGAGGCTGAAACGACGGTAGGGGCACTGTCCACCTCCCAGTGGCCAGTCCTCAGGGCTTCGGCCGGGGGGCGCGGGGCTGGGGCACGGAGGGTTCTGACCAGATCGGGGTGAGGGCTGGGACCCGCGTTGGCACGGCCTGGAGAGTGAAGGGAAGGGTGTCAGGGGGGCCTCTTTGGGGGCAGCCTCATCCCCTTCTGGATCTCAGAATTGGGGTCACCTTCCAGGGTGGGGTGGGGTAGCCAGCAGGGAGCAGTGGTGCCTGGAGAGGTGCCGTGGGTCAGGGTCAGGGCCAGGGAACCCCACAGAGAGACGTTTCCAGGCTCTGCACTCCTACCCCAATCCTGCCCCCCAGGACTCTCTGGTCCCCAGGCTGCTCCAAGGCACCTGTCTCTCCCAAGGCACCCTGGACCATACCCGGTGAGAAGGGCTGGTGGCTGACAGCTTCCGACGTTGGGCCTCAGAAGAGACACTGGACCAGAGGTCCAGGCTCTTGGGGGCTGAGCTTTTCTCAGACTTCGGAGGAAGAATGTCCCAGCCCAGCAGGCAGTGCTGTGGAAAGCAAAGGGTTTTAAGGTGCTTGGCCTGGTTGGCCTGGAGTGGGGCTCCCCACTGAATGGGCACACCCCAAGGAGGGGCTGTACCTCTCCTCTTGGACTGGCAGCATCCTCTAGGACAGGGCTGTGCCCCCATGAGGGTGAAGGGGCCCCCCAAACAATCACAGTGTCCCCCACGGACTGAGGCTCCCCGAGGGCAGGGGTCTTATCCACCACTGTTACCCCAGGCCTCCCTTTCCTAACCCTGCTGACCCAGGCCCTGGGCCCCAACCACAGATGGGTGGAGGGAAGGCCGTGGACGCTGACGGAGCAAGTCCTGTGTGCCAAGTTCTGCCCCAAGCCCCCGACAGGTATTGACTCACTGACCTGCCCCTTGTCCACCCCATGAGCCTGAGGATAGTATGTTGTACCCATTTTACAGATGAGCAAACTGACTTTCCTCAGTACCCCTTCTCCTCCCCGCAACCCCAGCATCTCTGGACTCCACTGGGAATGAGTGGGGTCCCCAGTGACCCCTGTCCTACCCAGGAGACACAAAGGACCTAGGTTCAAATCCAAGTTCTTCCATCCGGCTGACCTTGGACAAGTCACCTCCCCTCTGCCTCAGTCTCATCTGTAAAGTGGGATAACAGTAGGACCTGCACTCTCGGTTTCTGTGGCTCCACGAGATAATCGCCCTAAGGACTGTGCATGTGGCCATAAGAGCGCAAGAAATGGGGCCCGCGTGCACTAGGCCAACGCACTGCACAGGCAGACAGTCCTCCTGGAAGCCAGGGGCTGGGTGGGGAGCCCAGCCTCCCTCAGGGAACAAGCATGGTACACATGACATGAGTGGCCCAGCCCTAACTCCAGAGACTTCGGTCCTTGAGCCCAGCCTCGCTATTGGCCTTGGGACAGTCCCTGGCCCTCTGGGCCTCAGGACACGTCCAGAGACCTGAGCCAGACAGGGGACAGCCCCAAGGCCATCCTCACCCGGGGCAGCGCCAGCGTGTCGGAGGCGTCGAAGCTCTTCCGCCGGTGGATGCGGTACCGGTGCGGGGGGTCCAGGACAGACAGCGGGATGCTCACCCTGGTGGGGGTAACAGTGGGGGCATTGCTGTAGGCGCCTCCAGGCCGCTGTGGCCCATCCTGCCCTCCCTCAAAACCACAGGCCCCAGGCTCTGCTCTCGTCCTCAGCTGCGGCTGCCCCTACAGCTCCCCCCGGTGTCCTGCCTACTCTGGCCACTCACCTGACCTGCGCTGGCTCTGCCAGGGTCTCCGGACCCCGCTGGCCCCGTGGTATCCGGCACAGGCGGCAGGGGGTGCCGGGATCCGAAGGCACCAGAAACAGGCGCCGGTTGACACAGTAACAATACACACCTGAGATCCGCGAGAAGCAGAAGCCCCTCAGCCAGGGAACCTAGGGCCCTGGACCCCAACCACACAGGCTCGCCCACGCGTACACAGACAGAGCATGCACACGCACACGTGCTCACATGCAACAACACTGAGCACCGCCTTCTACTCAAGCGTGACACACGCGTGCACATGCCGGCAACTTCACATGTGCAAATGGCATCCGTGCAAACACAAAGCATGGCTTCATACAGTCATATCTGTGGACACACATGAACGTGCCTACACTTGTAATCACACACACAGGGTGCACACACACATATCCACAGGAACACACCTCACACACATATGTACACACATGTATACACTGTATGCTGCTCATGCAAACCCACAGCAAAGACTTGGGTGCTCACGTGACTGAGCTGGAACACCCCCACCCACCCATCCAGATGACCCCTGTGCAGAGAGGAGGGGGAGGGAGTGGGGACACATGGGAAAATGAGGCAGCTGGGAGGAAACGGAAGGCGCGGGCGAGGGGCGAGGTGGGTAGCACAGGGCAGGCCCTGTTCCCCCTGAGGCCAGGCCTCAGCTCACCCCAGGCTCGCGGCCCCCTGCCCGGACCCCAGGCCTCCCTCCCCCCGTCCCCAGCTGCCTCCCCAGGCCCCCAGGCCTTAGCTGGGCTACAGGGCGGCCGCTGAGCGTTTACACTCACATTCGTGGTCCCCCTCCGCAGCACTACTCTCCTGCAGGCCTAGGAACTGGGATCTGTGAGGGCGAGAGGGTGAGCAGGCCAGGATGACACAGTCCCTGAGCCCTGCCACCCTGCCCGCCCCACGCCCACCGCCCTGCCCACCCCGCGCCCGCCGCCCTGCCCGCCCTGCACCTGCCGCTGCTCACTCAGGGTCACTGCAAATACACTCCTCCTTGTTGGCTTCCCGGAACTTCTGCAGCTTCGAGAAGAAGGCCTCGGGCTTGCTGGTGACGGGAGAGCTGTTGTCCGGAGACCCTGGAGTGGGCAAAATACAAAGGAGCTGCTGTGTGGCCAAGACTCAGGGGAAGCTCGGCAATGGCACCGCAGGCCACCTGCTTTGACCCCACCACACCTCGTACAGACCTGGAGGGGACCCTCCACTCATGTGACTGTTGGTTTTGTCTCGTGTCTGTCTACCCTCATGCATATCCAATCATCCACGCAAAAAATATTTATAGAGCCCCTACTATGGGCCAGACGCTGTTTTACGTGCTA